ATGACATGGTCTGCTTTTGTGAAGTAACATCTAAGCCAACATCTGGCACAGAACAGATGTTTCATAAGTGTCATGGTGGTTTTCACTGACTCATACTTTCTCTCTGTCCTTCCATGTGCCTTACTTGCCTGTGGTCTTCCTCTTGGGGACCACAAATATGATGTACAAGGAAAGGCAGGGCAAGTCTTAGTGAGAGGATAGTGTGCTTCCACACAGGCTACATTCCCTTCAACACTGCCAATTCAGTCCAATACTGAAGAGAGAAACTTCTTCAGAGGCTACTCATAGTATCCATGGTAGGAAGCAGCTGTACAGTAATCTAGGCAGCTCCAAATTCTATTCCCTGCCATCCTTTTCTTGGGAGTGTCCAGGCCACCAAGAGGTCCCACTGCTCCGAACAATAACAAGACAATTCCATCCAGGCCACAGTGATCCTTTGAAAAGCTCTTTTCAAATACACCGGAAAATCAAGAACAAAATGAATACATATGTAGATGTGTATGGCTTACCAAAATGCAGCCAATAGGATATAAAACATTTAAACAACTATAGCAAGCAATGAGATTGAAATAATAAAACTTTTTAAATTGTGCCACATGATTCCTTCTCTATGAAAGGCAGAGAGGATTATAAGATGAAGCTCACATACTTGTTACCAGGTTCAGCACTTATTCATGAAGATACTTTGTTACATGAAGAAACTAATCAATTCTTCAATGTACTCCAATCTGTCCCTGGATTTCTGTGATACAGAACATAAAGTTTATATCATTTCATCAGTAAATGTGTGTATTCTAAATTGAACATGTGACCAGGCTTCTTTCTTTCATGCCACACAATATTACCTCCCCTCTCACTATGCTTCTCCCTGCTATAATCACAGGCCACTTTGTCCTCACCATGTAGCAATCAATCTTGCATTGCCATTCCACCTTTGCTACTTACCCACTATTTAAGAAGACCTGCAGCAACTTCATATTAGGTATTAAAAAAAAATCTATAGGAACTAATTGGACCCTATGACTCAGCTGTTACTATTTCAGTGACTAATAAATGTAATAATAGTCATCATTCATGTAAAGCTAAGGAAAGCACTGGCTTTATGTAGGTCTTTTTCAGACCTTCATCTCATTGTAGTTCACCGTTAGATAAAATGTGACCATTCTCAAACATCAGGCTGCTCTCATTCCTGATAACTGGCATTCCTAGCCTCATGAATGTTATAAAGCAGAAGCACAACACAAAAGGCATATTTAGTCTGGCAAAGTAGAAGAGATCTTAACTGAAGGGTTAATTTAAGAGGACATGCAGCATAGGACACCCCTTTCCATGACTGACTGAGGACCACAGGCAGATGAAAGGGGGCAGGTACATATCTTGGCGGTCAGGGAGGCAGGCTGTGGAGCTTTTCAGGTGACCAGTCAGCAAACCTACTGTAGATCTATGTTTGGTTCCTTTTGCCATAGGAGACCTCAGCTTTTGGAGTGGAGAAGAGCATATTAAGGTTTAAACAGCCCCAGTATCTCTTTTATGAACCATGACCCCACTTGACAGTCCTGGCCAGGCGCCTGGACTTACAAAGTCACATGGCACCATCTCCCTGTTTGGAAAAGCTATGCTTTTGATGCATACCAAGGAACAACAGGAAAAAGCAAAAGCACAATTATCACAATTTCAAGTGTGATGAGGGCATTTGAAAAGAGAGCAACTTAATTGTTTAAATAGGTATACAGGTGGACCCATTGCACCAATGAGATGTACAAGATGTTATGTTGAAAATGAACTTTATAACTTTGGCGTGCGGGGGAGGGGGGGAGATGAGAAGGGATGGGAAGGGGAAACAAAGGAGGAGGCTACAATGCTTGATAAGAAATGTACTCATTACCTTGCCCATGTAATTGTAACCCCTCTGTATGGTATTTTCACACACAAAAAAAAAAGAAAAGAGAACAACTTGTTGGAAAAGTCAAAACCTTTGTGTGTGTGTGTGTGTGTGTGTGTGTGTGTGTGTGTGTGTGTGTGTGTGTGTGTGTGTATATATATATGTAGAACATGGAAATGTGTGTCTGCGCTGGCATATGGGGGAAATGTGTGCATGCAAGGCAATGAGCAGGAGTACAAGCAGACAGGATCCAAAATGTGCCATTAGGAGAGGCCCAGTTGTGGGTACACAGTCAAGTGAGTTCACAGTGACCAGGAACATGTGGTTCAGCATGGTTGGTGAAGCATCCAGGAACCAACCTACAACTAGATGAGTGATGATATCAAGAAGACCCTGACAGCCCAACTCCTGCCTGACAATTCTAAAAATGCATTCAAGATTTTCCTTTTCCTTTCTGTCTTTCAGATCGGAGGAGGCAAAGGTGCACCTTTCTTCCGTCATCCCAAATCTGGGTTCATCCGACACCAGCCCCCTCCATCATGCCACCTAAGTTCTATCCCAATGAAATCAAAGTCGTGTACCTGAGGTGCACTGCTGATGAGGTGGATGCCATGTTCGCCCTGGCCCCCAAGATCAGCCCCCTGGATCTGTCTCCAAAAAAAGTTGGTGATGACATTGCCAAGGCGACAGGTGACTGGAAGGGTCTGAGGATTCCAGTGAAGCTGACCATTCGGAACAGACAGGCCAAGATAGTGATACCTTCTGCCTCTGCCTTGATCATCAAAACCATAAAGGAGCCACCAAGAGACAGAAAGAAAAAGAAAAACATTAAACACCATGGAAACATCTCTTTTGATGAGATTGTCAACACTGCTCGGCAGATGCGGCACCAATCTTTAGCCAGAGAACTTTCTGGAACCATTAAGGAGATCCTGCCCAGTCTGTGGGGTGTAATGTTGGTGGCCGCCACCCTCATGACATCATAGATGGCATCAACCATGGTGCGGTGGAATGCCCGGCTAGTTAAGAAGCACAAGAGAAACAATTTCAATTTTAAAAAATCAGACAAGCAGGGCTGGGAAGATGGCTCAGTGGTAGAGCGCTTGCCTTGCATGCCTGAGGCCCTGGGTTTGATTCCTCAGCACCACATAAGCAAAGTATAAAAAAAATCAGACAACCAAAAAAACAAAAAAAGAATTTCCTCTTTTGATTATTCAAAATAATTGATGAGGCTGAGCAGGGTGGCTCATACCAGTAGTCCTAGCTACTCAGAAGGCTGAGATCTGAGGATTGAGGTTTAAATCCAGACCAGGCAGGAAAGCTGTGATGCTCTTACCTCCAATTAACCCCCAAAAAGCCAGAAGTGGAGCTGTTGCTCCAAGTGGTAGAGCACTAGCCTCGATCACAAAAGCTCAGGGACAGTACCCAGGCCCTGGGTTCAAGCCCCAGGACTAGCATCAAAGAAACAGGTCTTTTTAGACTGAGGAGCTACCAGGAAGGCACTGGGCTCTAGAACAGCATTTAGGTTTTAAAGGGGCCCTCAAGGGATACACTAATAGATGTAATTATTTGCCTTTGATATTGTCAGAGAAGGAAATAAAATTCAGTAACTTGTCAGAATCAATAGGTAGCTGAACCTACACAACTAGAAACTCAGTTTTGGAGGTCACCTTTTTACTATCCTTATCACAAACTGCAATGAAACAAGCCATATCAACGACCTCACGTTCCATATTTTTAAAATTGCAGGAAAAAAAATAACATCCATCCTAAATGGTTGCCATTATCTGATCTCTCCTGCTCCCATTCCCATCCTGGCCTTTTCCTTAGGCAATGCCATGCCACACTGTGAGGATTCTCACAAATATGGATAATATTCTCCCCAATTCATGTAATCAATCATTGCCCCAGGGAGCTAGGGATAGATAGTACAATCAAAGATCAAGGTGATATAGGTATGGTTCTAGTCAACAATCTCCATGCTCAATTACCTGGACACACTGGCGTTACCATGAAGGTTCACAGGCAACCTGCTCACAGAAGCCCTCCCTTCCCAGTTTCTCTGTGATTATACTTGTATGTATGCTCATCAGCAGAGAGTTAAGTCTTAACCTTGTGGTATTCTTCTTTTCTTCCAACTTATCTGGTATAACTAATGTTTTCTAGTACTTCTGAGCCAGAATAAGTTGAAGATGGCCTTGTTTCTGTCCACCCTCCCTTGCTTTTCATGTGGCGCAGAAACAAACTCTTAGGCATATACCTACCATCAACATTAGGTTGTGCTGTCTTATAGAGGTAAAATGGGTGTTTTGCTGTTCATCTTTGGACTGTAACAACAACATCTGGAAATGAACACAACGAACTAGACCTTTAAAAGCCCCCTATAAATCCTCTCATTCCCTGGCACTGCTGGTGTTTCAGAGCTACTTGCTATCAGGATTCTTAAGCTTCCATTTTATCATGCATCTCAATACTTGAACAGAAATGAACAGATAATGCTGAGAAAGAGGAACAGTGTGTCCATTCTGTGCTTGTTCCCTACAGGGGACATTCTGCTCCACCCGGCCTTTGCAGTCCCACCCCAGATTGGAAACTTTGTTTTCTTTCAGGCCGTCACCAGGTTGGCTCCTTGTGCCCCAAAGCAAGCTCCACCTACTGAAAGTGTCTTTCTGCTTAAAAGGCAAGAGTATTGGCCAGAAGGAGAGAGCCTGTGGACACAGCAAAGGATCCGGCACAGGCTCTTCCTTAGGGTCCTAACTGGGATGTAGGTAGAGTAGTCAGCTCACAGTCAAGTTAGGCATCATTTCGTGATTGTCCCCCTAGACGGGACATTCTGCTCCACGGAGCCCTTGCATTCCTGCCCTGGATTGGCAAATTTTGTTTCCTTCCAGGCCCTTGCCAGGTTGCCGACTCGTACAACTAAGAAAGCCCTACCTGCTGCGACTTTCTGTTTAGAAAACCAATAGCAGTCACCGGAAGGGGAGTCTGTGTGTGCAGGCAGGACATTTGCAACTGGGACAGCTTTGGTTCATCGCGTGGCCACCCGACGACTTTGCCAGACTTCCAGCAACGTGTGGCAAGTATGCCTCCAATCAGGGTCCCCAGGGGAGCCTACACGATGAAGATGATGGCTAGGCCTGAACAAGGCCCGGCCATGACTTCAGCCATTACCATACGGGAGCTCTATGAGACGGAAATTTTGGCTGAGCCCGAGCCAGGTGGAGCAGAGAGCCGGCACTTTCGAGAAGGAGCTCTGGCCTTCAAGGATTACATGAGGCTCATAGCTGACCTGGATGATGAAGGTGACCAGAACAGCTTAGATGTGGTGAACAAAGACGGTGGCACTGGCAGCTCCAGCACCTACGATAGCCTTTGCAAGTGCCAGGTGCCTCAACAGCCGCAAGCCCTGCAGGCCCCACAGGCTCCACAGGCTCCACAGGCCCCACAGGCCCCACAGGCCCCACAGGCCCCACAGGCTCTAGAGGCCTGGCAGGCCCTACAGGCTCCGCAGGCCCCACAGGCCCCACAGGCTCTAGAGCCCTGGCAGGCCCTACAGGCTCCGCAGGCCCCACAGGCCCCACAGGCTCTAGAGCCCTGGCAGGCCCTACAGGCTCCGCAGGCCCCACAGGCCCCACAGGCTCTAGAGCCCTGGCAGGCCCTACAGGCTCCGCAGGCCCCACAGGCTCTAGAGCCCTGGCAGGCCCCACAGGCCCCACAGGCTCTAGAGCCCTGGCAGGCCCCACAGGCCCCACAGGCTCTAGAGCCCTGGCAGGCCCTACAGGCTCCACAGGCTCTAAAGGCCCCACAGGCTCCCAAGGCTCTGAAGGCCCCGAAGCCAATGCACAAGGCCATGACGACTCTGAAGCCCCGGCGCAGGACTGAGCAGCACCGGCGCAGGCGACTACGCAAGTTCTCACCCTGGCAGCTGGAGGAAATGGAAAATGTTTTCCAAGAAATTCAGTATCCTGATGCCTCCACAAGGTCAGTGGTTTCTCTGGGTGGGGCCGGACCTCCGTTGCTTGGCTCATTTCCAGTGTCATTTTCCATCCTTTCACCTCTTTACTCCCAACCCAGTGGAGGTTTTGCCTTCCGAGGCACTGGGCCTGGGAAGAATGCCTTGGGATGCTAAATCAGTATGTGCGTGCAGGAATAGACTGGAAACACGTCTAACAAATGTCTAGCAGCCATTGCTTTTGGTTGCTTTTGCTTATGAGACCTGGCAAATCAAAGTATGGGTGGGGATTTGGGGGCAGTGGTTGGTTACTAATTTGGAAACACACTGTCATATCATTTGTTATTTATTTATATCTAGCTATCTATCTACATAACTATTTTTCCTGAACCAAGACTTGAACTCAGTGACTCATTCTCTTGCTTGGACTTTTTTACTCTCAGCTAATGCTCTACTACTTGAGCTACACTTCCTGCCCATATTTTTGCTGCTTAAATGGAGATGGAGTCTCTCATGCTTTTCTTCTGTAGCTGGCTTAGAGCTGTGACTCTTCAGGTCTTAGCTCCCTGAGTAGCTAGGATTACAAGCTTGAGCTAAAGGTGTCTGGCTGCTTTGCACTTATTTTACCCATTGTATGTTTGCCTTAATACTCTCTTGATTGTTTTGACATAGTACAATTAGTCTATTTTACTTGCATAATCTGTGTTGCTCCTGTGTGTGCTGCTGCTGTTGTTTGCACTTATTTTGTAGTAATGCTAAGCATAGTGTCACACACCTATAATTCCAGCACTGGGAAGTCTAAGACAGAAGTATATCAAGTATTAGAGCAGCCCAATCTACGTATCATGTTCCAGAACAGCCTGGAAAAGCCCACAAGTAACAATAAATAAATAATAAATAAATGGATAGACTATTGCTTTAACACCACCTGTCTTGATTTCTGAGGTCTAAAGCAATCTGTAGATTTGTGATGAGGTAGAGTCACTTGTAAAGCAGTATGGGTTCTGAGAGTTACAGAAAAGTATACTTGGGAGTTGTGAGGATGTACTGTAAGTATAAATTTATGCATATGACAAATTGTCCTTTCATCCATTATAGGGAGCTTGAGCATTTGTGTTTTTCTCTTCACAGGAGTCAGCTTGCCAGAATCATCTGTGTGACTGATGCCAGAGTGAAGGTCAGTAAACCTGAAACAAACATTTTGTAGTCAGTCGATCAAAACCCTGGTTCAGAACAAGGACAGATATATCCTAGATTGGTATGATTTTATTGTAGTTTTATTAGCAAATAGACGCTGAATCTTGGAAGGTTTCAGATAGAAAAAGGCATAAGCAAACTCCAGCTTCTCATTTTTTCCCAACTGAAGACCATATGATATCCTAATGAAAGAAAATGAAAAATAGAGGAAAGAAAGGTAGAAGGGAAGAGGAAGATGGCAATGGTGACAAATGGGATGTTGGCACCTTAGGTATAGGAGGAAGGGGATGGTGTCCTATCAAGAGCCATCAGGTTGTGACAGGGCTGTAGAATCTGGTGTGGGATGACAGGAGCTGCTACTCAGCCTCCTTTGCCCTCTGGCTCACCTCAGGCCCTGAAATAGGCCATGGCAGTAGCAAGCTCTATGTGTGTAAGTGGATCTGGCTACCTCCTAGTTGTATCACCTCCACCAAATCCTAGCACTACTTGGCTTCTTACTGCTCCTCGAACCAAGAGCAGGAGGACCAACAGAAACTAAATCACCATTGGCATTCACGGGGTTACCCAACTTCTCAAAGATGAACTAATATAATCAAATTACATAAATAAGAGTAAATATGTCATACATAATATTAATAAGGTAATAAAATGATTTAATTTTACATGCTCTCTTTTCTAACAGAGAACAGTGCGGGTCCTGTTCTTTTAAACATGAATAAGTGATTTTTTTTATAGGTGATCAGTATTTTTCCCTCACTGCCAATATTTGCACAGAAACTATTCTTGATATATGATGACTAGTGTTCAGGAACTTATCAAGAAGCATATAGAAGTTCTACATTGTTTGAGTGTATTAATTTAAACAAACATGTCTCAGAAGTCTGAAAATAAGCAGTGAAGACTGCATGTGGAAAGCATAGCTTGCTATTTCTTCTCACATTCTAAAGTGATAAAAAGTTAATAGGTGAACTTTAGGTTACAAAACTTCATATGTGATTTTTAAAGCATACTTCAAATACAAATGATTAAACTAAATTTGTGCCCACTGACATTACTTTGCACTTCATAGATGATTGTACAGCTCCTTTTTTGTTGTTGGTATCAAAACTTGAACTCAGGGCCTTGGTGCTGTCCCTGAGCTCTTCTGCTCACAGCTGGCATTCCACCTCTTTTGAGCCACGGTACCACTTCTGGTTTTCTGGTGATTAATTGGACATGAGAGTCTCACAGCCTTTTCTGCCCAGGCTGGGTTTGAACCATGATCCTCAGATCTCAGCCTCCTCAGTAAATAGGATTACAGGCTTGAGCCACCAGCCACAGCTGCCCAGCTCCTTTTTGAAGTTATCAATATATTGCCAAAATTCAATGTGAAGCTTATAGCATACCCAACCTTTATTAGAGAATTTCTCCACTTCTATTACTCAACTTAAGCCTTTTCCAGCACTTGGCACAAAGTAGGTGCTCACTATGTGTGACCTAAAGGAGAGGTGAGTTGATTCTTACAGGAGTTGGTGGCGATAGTGGTGGGGATAGACTCCGTGGCCCCACATATTCTAACCATGTGTCCCCAACACTGAGCTACCCTTGTACCCTGACAAAGGATCAAAGCAATGACAAAATAGATGCCCTGTGTAAGTTTAAATATCAGTGACCTATAAAATTGCATAGTATATTTTCTCCATTATTATATTCAGTGTCCAATGTAATGAACCAATGATTTTTCACTCTGATTTCAGGTTTGGTTTCAGAATAGGAGAGTCAAACATAGGAAGATTATGATGAGAATAATGAATAGATGTGTTGAGAGTGATGACAATGACGACTGAAACATTATCATCCCTATGGGGTTGGAGGAACCCTAGAGTGTCATCTTCAGGAACCAGAGACCGATCAGTTCTTCTGATTTCTACACCTGAGCCATCTATGCTAACCCTGCAATCATTTTATCCTTTTTACTCTCATTAGAAATAAAGAGGCATATCCTCAATATGTGTGTGTGTGTTCTTGTGTTAGGAGGATATGGTGTAAATTGTTTGGGGAATGCCATTTAAATGCAGTGATAAAGAGGTCTGCTTTGGTAGGTCACCCCCCTGAGTCACCATCAACAGGTCCTGCACAGCACAGAAGTTTCCCAAATGCCAATGCGCTTTACACTGACCCACACACTCTTCTGTGTCCACCATGACTCTATCCTAACCTCTAAACTGCCCTCTTTGGAGCACAGATGTGTTTCCACACAGGGCTGAGTTGTGTCCATGCTGTCAAATTCCTGCTAAGCCTGGATTCTGAGAGGAACTTCCTAAGAGGCTACCAACAGGGTTCATGGAATGAGGCAACTGAATCTAAGCTGCTCCAAATTCTGCTCCCTGCTGTCTCTTTTCAGGGAACACATAGGGGACTAAAACAGTTAAATATCATGAAATCAGGATGTTTGTGTTGGGGGTAAATTTTAATAGCACTTTCAGGTTGATGGTCAAGTAATTAGGAACTAGTGTATTACTTCCAGATAACAATTCCAGATAGTGGATGGGACTGGGCCCACTGGGGTTTGAACTCTGGTCTTTGTAATACACTCCCTTACCTTTTTCACTCAAGCTTGGTGCTATAACACTGGAGTCACTCCTCCATTCTGGCTTTATGCAATTTTAGATAAGAGTCTCATGAACCTTCTTGCATGGGCTGGCTCTGAGTTGGAATCTTCAGATCTCAGCCTCCTGAATACGATTATAGGCATTAACCACCAACACCCAGATAATAATTATTTTGTTATGCTAGATGTACATACCCTAGATCATTATTCCAACAGGTAGTACATGGTTTAAACTTCATTGATCTAAGTTTGAAGCTGAATATAAAATTCTAAGCATTTAGGACCAAAGCACGGGGAGTAAAGTATGTATGGTAACAATTCTTTCTTGGAGAATGCAAGAGTATTGTAACCAAGTGGAAGTGAAGAGAGGATAGTTTGAATAAAGAGAAAAATTAGTAAACATGGACAAAAGGAATTCGTCCCCTAGCTCAAAGGATAGAATTACTGCCTAGGATGAGCAAGGCCCTAAGATGAACCCTAGCTCCTCAAAAACTAAACATGAAAAGATTGCATACAATTCAAGAACTTGTTTGTTTTGAAATATTTTCAAAGTCACAAAAATACATTTACCTGTATTATATCAAGCTGCTTGTTAGTCAGGATAGATCAGGGAAGATAAGGCCTGGGAAACAGCAGCTAATAAATTAGAGACAATTACTACATTAATGAATTGATCGCTTTAAACACATAAGTACTGTTTTTTGTCTTAAGCCTTACATTCTCTCATAAGTTGCTACATTTAAAAAAGAACCAGAACAGCTCTCTCCCAGTTGACCTTGCCTGCATACTTACCTGATTACTATAAGACTGAAAAAAATACATTTACTCTGGGAAAAATGACTTTTCTGGGCACAAGAATATTTATTATGAAAAATATTTATCTCAAATATGTATGCCTGGCCGGGCGCTGGTGGCTCACACCTGTAATCCTAGCTACTAAAGAGGCTGAGATCTGAAGCTTTGTAGTTCAAAGCCAGCCCAGGCAGGAATGTCTGTGAGACTCCTATCTCCAATTAGCCATTCCAAAACTGGAAGTGGAGTTATGGCTCAAAGTGGTAGAGTACTATCCTTGAGTGCTCAGAGACAGTGCCCAGAACCTGAGTTTAAGCCCCAGGACCAACAACAACAACAATGAAGATGTACACCTGTCTTGAAAGGAATGTGTATCAGAATCCACCCTTGAACATCAGTGACTCAAGTTTGGAGAAAAGTCCCAACTACATCAATCATCCAAGTTTAGCAGGATAACCTTGAAGTCTATGAGCCCAATTGATAAAGCTTTGTAAAATCCAGGATGACGAGAATGTATCAGGTTTAACAACAAGCACTTACCCTAAGGTGAATTGGAGCCAAATCCCACTCTAGTTTTGTGGGGGGTTTTAATATTTTTTTAATTGTGAAAATACTGTACAGAGGGGTTACAATTACATGGGCAAGAGAATGAGTACATTTCTCATCAAGCATTGTAGCCTCCTCCTTTGTTTCCCCTTCTCATCCCTTCCCATCCTCCCCCTCTACTCAATCCTCCTCCCCCCACCACCAAAGTTGTAAAGTTCGTTTTCGGCATAACCACTTGAGTTGTTTTTTTTTTTGGGGGGGGGGGAGGGTCTGGTCATGGGGCCTGAACTCTGGGCCTGGGCAATGTCCCTCAGCTCTTCAGCTCAAGGCTAGCGCTCTACCACTTGAGCCACAGTGCCACTTCCGGCTTTTTTCTTTTTGTTTATGTGGTGCTGAGGAATTGAACCCAGGGCCTCATGCATGCAAGGCAAGCGCTCTACCACTGAGCCACCTTCCCAGCCCTTGTTTGTTTTTTAACCACAAATACTTGTGACATTAGGACACTCTTTACATCTGTTATCAGATGTGCCCACATCCATATCTGGGTGATATGTTATCTCGCTATCTTTGCTTTTATTTCCTAATAAACTTCCTTGGTCTATACCTTGATGTATCCTCAAATTCTTTTTTGTGATAACATCAGGAACTTGGTACCTAAGGGCCAAGCAGAGGCCTTCACCCTTTTGGTGACCTCTTCCCTGGCGTGTTACTGGTCACTAATGTAATAACATTTGGATTTTTCCCACAATGGTGGTGGAATTTCCACAAAGGACTACTTGCAACAGGGAACCGGTTAGGAATCCAAAGACAGAATCTATAGCTGCCAGACTGAATAGTCCAAAGCATGTATTAGAAATCCTGAGCCACCATACTGAGATGGTGGACAGGCACACAAAAAATACTCTATCTGTCCAAATGGAGAGAGAGGGATGGGCTATAGAGAACCATGAGGGTTTAAGAATATGGCTAAAGCCTGGGGATAATTCATATGTGCTTATATGCCTAATCTTTCCGTGTTTCAGGAAATGACATAAAGGAAGGTGTCAGTGCCT